TTCTCAAGCGAGCTGTGCGTGTTGTCTGCTCTGCTCCCTTCCTGTCTGCAACTTTTTTTTCTTTTCCCGAGGATCATATCTGCCGCTGCCACACGCAGCCCTTCATATCAATGTCCCGCTCTCTGGAATAAGTTGCCTGCATCTATACGGTCACTGAAGAAACCAGGTCAATTCCGGACCGCTCTCTTACCCCACCTGAAAAATTCACCGACTTTACAATGCGTTGCTCACTGATCAAATAATTATGCAATCTTTCCTCTGCTAGCTAGCTGCTGCCTTAAATCCTACTCATTTTTTCTATTTTCTTTTTTTCTTTCTTTTTAATCTTTTCCTTACATTTGTGTGCCTGTAACTTAGTCGATCTCATGTAATAAGGCAACACTGCCTGTTTGTTATTCGACGTTAAATAAACCAATCCAATCCAAAAAATGCGTATAATACGGTATTGATATGATGTGAAGGCAATCATTTACATATTGCTGTCCCTCCAGAAACTTGCGGAGACATTTCGGAAATATCGCGGAAAAAGTTGCGATAAAATTGCGGAAATTGCGGCCGATTTGGTACTTGTACTGTAGTGGTGTACGATGTACGAGTCGTACAGCATAAATCATGCATGACAAAACAGAACGTGTGCTGCTCTGACTGTGTTCAACTGCCTGACAGGAGCTTGCAAGACAGCTTTCCTCCATCCTCGGACAACACTCAACGCGAGCCTTATTTTGTGACTTGTCAGCCGCTGATTTGCCCAGAAACTTCTCCATTCTGGTGTCGATCTCACAAGTAAACTACTGACGAGCTTCAAGAACCAAACAACATCGAAGAAAGACTCGAATATCGCGGTTGCTTTTCGAAATATCGCGGTGCTTTTCAAGTATCAAGGACAGTTTTCTACAATAACGCGGATGATTTTTCAAATATCGCGGATATCACGGACTTTTGTTCAAATCGCGGAAAACAACGCGGCCGCGGAATCGCAAGTTCCTGGAGGGACAGATAGGGCATTCCATTGATTGGTGATAGAAAACACAAAAGAAATTATAGCAATAAAAACTGCTTTATGGCAGTTTTCTAAAAAAAGTTATTGTGTTCTAGTCCATGGACCCCGTCTAAAAAGTAAGAAATTAACGAAATATGATAGCTGAAAATTAAAATTTCACACAAAACCTCACAATAATCACACACAGAATGAAAAGCTACATGAAGAAGACCTTTTCCCCTCGTGATCCTCTTTCCTATGCATGCATGTTGCCAATTGTTGGTGCAAAACAAGTTTAGTGTTGAAAGCAGCATTTCAAGTGTTGTGATTATTGTGAGGTTTTGTGTGAAATTTTAATTTTCAGCTATCACATTTCGTTAATTTCTTACTTTTTAGACGGGTCCATGGACTAGAACACAATAACTTTTAAATTTTTAGAAAACTGCCATAAAGCAGTTTTTATTGCTATAATTAGAATCGCGATCACACTACACATGTGGGGAGAATTAAAATTCAAACTTCATTTCGAGCGTCAAGTGGTAATCTCCACGAACGACGTCAAATTCCTTCACCTTGTGGATCGCCAACACCTTCAGTGCAATCCTTGCAACCATCCTTATGAGTTTTGGTGTTGTCCGTGGCCAATTAGCTCCTCGATATTGAGATAAAAAATCAGTGATTATCAGCGTCAATGGCGTATCCGCGTCAAATCCTGTTTGGAGCGGAAAAGCGTGGTACGTTCTTGCTTTTTTTTGGAGCGTCAACTTTCGCTTTTGCCGCTCTGGCGGCAAGTTACTATGGAGATTCGGATTATAATCCTAGGATTATTTCGATTTTGCCGCAGTCTGACCAGGCCCTTAGCCGGCATAATCCGCCGGTGCCTACTGAGAGCATGAGGCCTTGAGGGGTGAGACAAGTAGTTAAAGGGGAAGTATACCCTAAAATCAAATTTTCACCAGTTGTAGTCTTCTGGGTGCTGAGTCGAATGGTCTTGGTCCGAGGAAGCTGAGACGCTCCCTTCTTGCTTGAATCCCAATCGAACTCGCGCACTTCCACCGAAACTGGGTGACTGCGCCCTACTAGATGGGGATTTGTATGCAAAATGTCACTAAAAGCGCCATTTCGTTCTTATAAAAGCACGGATGACCGCGATTGGCCCATATGTTGTAGTCTTTTGGACGCTGAGTCGACTGGTTTTGGTCCGAAAAGGCTGCGATGCAGCGTTCCTCCTTTATTCCCAATCGAACATGGTTGAACAAGCGGTCACGTGCTCCTGCGTACACCAGTCACCTGGTCACCGTGCCTGCAGGGTACAACTTACTAGCCTGTTTGACCTTTTTTGGGTGCAGTCCTGTCACTCGAGTTGAACTCGAGTTGAACCTTGGTGTGAAAGTTGTTGCCTGCTGGCGTGGTGAACAGGTGATTTGGGCACCCAGGAGCACGTGACCACTTGTTCAACCATGTTCGATTGGGAATAAAGGAGGAACGCTGCATCGCAGCTTTTTCGGACCAAAACCAGTCGACTCAGCGTCCAAAAGACTACAACATATGGGCCAATCGCGGTCATCCGTGCTTTTATAAGAACGAAATGGCGCTTTTAGTGACATTTTGCATACAAATCCCCATCTAGTAGGGCGCAGTCACCCAGTTTCGGTGGAAGTGCGCGAGTTCAATTGGGATTCAGGTAGGAAGGGAGCGTCTCAGCTTTCTCGGACCAAGACCATTCGACTCAGCACCCCGAAGACTACAACTGCTGAAATTTTAATTTTTGCCTTAACTTCCCCTTTAAGTACAAGTACTGGCGTAGGTCTACGCCAGTACTTGCGCGTGTACTTCGTTAGTTGTACTTGGACAGTTGTAGTACTACAGTCGTCCCTCTCTAATCCGGCACTTTATAATCCAGCACCCTCGATAAACCAGCACAATTTTCAGTAGCCAAAATGTCCTCTTCATGCACATTGCAGCAGTAAATCAGATTTGTTAATCCAGCACCCTCCCTAATCCAGCAGATTTTCGTGGCACAAATGGTGCCGGATTATAGAGGGACCACTGTAGTAGGATTTTTTCGCTGTCGGCAAGCGATGACACATACTCAACCTTGGACCAGGCTTGGTAGACTGTCTACAAGGCCTCTCTGTGACTGTCTCACGACATTAGGGAGGTTCTGCTATACGTGAAACGTAGAGAAATCACGTAGAGAGCAGGTGTCTGGGTTAGAGTCTACGGCTTCGCGTGTTTTGGCTCCAGATTTCTACGCGGAGATGGGGTTCTCTACGTTGTGGCACACGCAGAGAAAATGCGTACGGATTTGCTGGGTATCGATCAACTGCATGCAGAAAACTGCCAAATATGGAAGGGGAAATTCCCTGTACACATTCCACGTGACTTCTCTAGGTGAAACGTAGAGCAGAACAGCATTTCTTTACGTTACGGGAACGCGAAGAAAGTTCGCGTGATTCTTTGCGTCGCGTTCCCAAAACGTAGAGCAGAACCTCCCTATTAGCTTCCAAAGCTTACGAGACCAAGAACACAGGCCTAGTCAGTAGTGGTGAATCCCACACCTCACATTGTGAGAATCAACACTGTTTGGCCGGTCGCAGTTTGAATGGCTACATGTACGTGTACGTTGTCGATTATCACATACACTCGCTCAGTGGTGCGAGTCGTGGGTACTCGAGGGCAGACAGGTGCAGGGAGGAGATAGGGAGCCTCGCGCCTTTTCGGGACTGTCACTTGGTTGCTTGGGACGCGTGATCTGGTTGTCTAGCTCTGCAGACAAGACTGTCACTGTGTCAGTTGGTTTGATACACCAGCGCGCTAAATCGGTCCGTGGACTGGTGCCAGTGGTGGACTGGTAGGTCCCTGTCGACATGTCCTGGACTTACTACAACTACAAGTACCGTATTATCTCTAATACCGTACTGGCAATATATGTTGCTGCGTAACGCGTAACGCAGGGGGGGGGGGGGGGTGCGGCGTAACGCGCGACCAGGCTAGTGCGACAAATTTTCGTTGAGTTCGTAACGCGCGTCCGGCGGGGTGCGGCGATCTTTTCATTGCAGTTTGCACTGCACAAGGAAAAATGATGCGGCAAAAGCAAAAAAATGATGCGGCAATAGCAAAAAGTGATGCGGCAATAGCAAAAAAAGGACTGCGGCAATATAGAAACCTGTGTAACGGCTCCTGTGCGACTTTGCAAGTAACGCCCTGCGTGCGGCAAACATGTGCCAATGTAACGCTTCATGGCCTCACTGCGGCAACATATTATATTGCCAGTACGGTATAAGCACAGTCTCCAATGATAGCACGTCTCCAATAATAGAACACCTTGGGGCGGCATTCAAAAAATAAAGTGCTCAGTCTCCATTATAAGCGCACTGTGTAAATTCATTATCTCTACCGGCGAAAAACCCTGAAATGTGTGTGTCTGACATGAATTTGGCATAGCAACAAGCCTCTGAAATGAAGTTGAAATAATAATGGAACAGTCTCCAATAAAGGAACGTCTCCAATAATAGCACGGGGAGGAGGTACATCGAAAAAATAAAGGACCGTGCTTATATTAGAGATAATACGGTATCTCCACGATCATGGCAAGTAGTCGCCTGGTAGATCTACATTCACACAGAGCTAGCTCCGGGACCGGTACTACATGTATACATGTAGAGTCTACCACAGTCTACAGTCTGCAGTCATGTAGATCTAGTACTACACAAGGTCGTCTCTCTGTTTGCAAAGCTCCACCCAACCTCCCCCCCCCCCCCTCCACACCAGCTAACGATGTCACGTGCGTAATGACTTGTAGCTATTAATTAAACGAAGCGCAACCAAGCAGTCGGATCCCCTACACTACACTGTACATCCTAGTCTACAGCCTAGTACAGGCTACTGCAATTATGTAGGTCCCCATGCTACACAAGACAAGTGCAGTGGTTGAGAGGCAGCTCACACTCGGTCATCAATGGTCATAGAAAAGGTATAGAGAGCAGAGTTGACCGAAAATTTCCCCTGGTGCACAGTCATTCACCAGAGAGGTTTTTTCTCTCTTTTGTCTTCATTGTTGTCATCATGTCGCTTTGATACCGACGCCCCTTTGTAGTGTTGCTGGAAAGCAGGCGAAGGCAGCAAGGCATTCAAAGCTGAGGTAGCGACGGCAGTTCGACAGTCTGTCCGGGTGACGGTAAGTAATTAGTTCGTTCGGTGAATCAAGCACCCCGTTGGAGTATTGCGCTCTAGCATAGCTTGGCTTGGAACAGCGGTAAGCACGAGCCGTTCTTCCTTCCCCGTTTCTCTACCTTCGGCTGTGGGTCGATGTGAAGCGATAGCACACTCCTAATGGCTGCATTGAAAGTTTTTTTGGCGACACAACGATTGCCTTTCAAATCTACGTTCCGGTTGGCTTCGCTGCATGCATGGGGATAGTG